ATTTATTTATTTATTTATTTATTTATATTTCATTTTGGTGGCCTGTGTAATTTCTTTGGCATAAATATTCTGGCTAAATGCTGTTCCCAAATGTTAGATCTGAACGGGTAAAATTAGACTTTAAATTCGACGACAATGCGCTGGGACGACAGAAATATGCATGTATGGATATAACTCGATGTTTGTGTGCTCGGTTTTTTAAAACGGTTTTCCTTAATTGAGTCGGCCTCAGTCATTTTCCCAAGTCATTAACGTTCTACGCAATTACAAGTTGACACACGCGTTTTATTACTTCACCCTATCCAAAATTCGCAGTTAGCCAATCAGAAGCTTTAGCTGCTGTTTTATATCCTACAATATCAAGTCACACACCTGAAATGGCGGGTTTTTGTCGAAGTTATCTGCGCGAGCGGATATTTCATATTCGTTTCGGAGAAAGAAAGATCGGATGATTCATGATTTTTTTTTTGGAAGAATTCTCTGCTGTATTAAAAAAGGCTCTATTTTTAAATAATTTCTTTTGAGGACAACCATGCGAAAACTCAGAAGCGTAAACAAAACTTAGTTGGGGGTTGAACGCATTTGATTGGTCGAAAGACCTCACCGATTTGTTCTGATCGATTATCAAATTGAACGTTGTTATTTTGCGGCACTACGCAGGAGAAATTTGAAAACGCAACTTTATTTCTCCAGTTAGGCCTACAGTCTATACTAATCTGTCTCGAAAATGGAGCTTTTCGAAAACGCTTTTCAAATGGGAGGAATTTGAAAACGCCAGCTTTGCGTTTTAGTGTGGACCAAAAACATTTTGAAAACAGAGCTTACGATAATCGTATGATTTCCCTGCGCGAGCTTTCCTCAAACACTTATCTAAAATGACCGGCAATTTTGCTTTTTTCAAATTCTCCGGCGTGGTGTGGGCGGAAAATGTTTGATGCGTTTGCAGAGTGAAACCTCCGTTTTCAAATTCCTCCGGCTTGGTATGGGCGGAGCCTCAAACTAAGTGAAAAAACAAGCTGCTTCGCAAAGTTATTGGACAACTTTAATAATTGAATTACATGTCATTAAGCTTGCTGTTCTGAAGACGTTTATTGGATTTACATTGTAATCTATGTGAAATACATACATCAAAAATAAAGAGCAATTTAATGATAATGTCAGTTCACTCATGAATTAGTAAAACTAAAGCAATTTACTGTAATTTGTCGTAATACACGTCTTTTGTTGATGTTGATGCGAATCTTCCACTCATGTGTTCTTTTCTTGCTGACGTTTTGCGTCCTGCAAAGCTGTCTGGCCGTACAAATCTCCTTCTGTTAACAGTATCATCTGCCAGAGAAAAATAAAATATCTTCAGGTTCAGCAACTGTCTCCATTAACAACAACAGCCTTTATTTGCACTCATTCTTACACAAACGTACGTTTTATAAAGAGAAAATTAAAATGTAAAAGAGTGTTGACTTCCTCGAAACCATAAGGGCTGGTGAGGACAGGCAGCCAGCTGAATAGAGGTTGACTAAATTTACATGCAATGTAGTTTAGGGCTGAAAACATAAAACACTCACTCAACACACAAACACGGCACTCTCACATAACTGACTCAAAACTGAAAATATATCCAAATTTTATCAGTTAAGTTTTTTTTTTTTACAACTCGTTTTGCTATTCAAAGCAGTCAATTTTCCAGTCAAAAGACGAGTCTTCTTAACACTGTCCAAGTGGATTTCATAAAAAAAGCAACTGAAAAGAAATACACCCTTTCGCTATTAACAAACGACAAAATTTGTTATGCCTCCCAACTCAAATACGTTTTCCGATTGGAGGAGAATGTGTCTCGTGTCGTGGTTCAAAACTTCCTAGGGTGAACAAAACTCACTAACTCCCTAGGGAAACAAAAACTTGAACTTTCGACTCGCACGTGATCAGGTCGTACTCCTTAAAACCGCGGCAAATTTGTGAGCCAGCCGGAGTCAAGCAAACGATTTCTTCGCAGTTTTTTCTGTTTTTGAGTTGGGAGGTATAACATAACACTTAATGACTGGTCCCGCGGGAAACAGTGAGTTTTGTTTCCCCTCGTCTCGGGGAAACAAAACTCACTGTTTCTCTTGGGGCCAGTCATTAAGTGCTTATTGTCCCTGATGTTTTCCAAAAATTCGAATTAAAGGCAGTTTTCAGTAAAACACACTGAAATGTTCACTGCCCACCGATTGATGTGCCCCATGAGATGACTCGGGGTCAAGACTAAATTTTGGAGGTTAGCATTTGGGGCTACCTATGCCAGGCGAAACTTCCCTAACTCTGCGCCAAGACAGCTAATTGGAAAGATGCCTATCCGTGCCATCTAAATTGTATTTTCACTATCCTACACTGTTTTTAAAATAAATGTTATTAAGCTAACCTGTGTTTGCAATTTCCGCTGGTTCCTTTTGTCCTGGCACACCAGCTTATACCTTGCCCAGAGTATTTTTCCTCCACACTGTCGCGGCACAAGACTACTGCGCCTGGATTTGACGTCTTGGATGACAGGGTTTTCTTGTGCATTTGTACAAAAAAACACAGCAACAAACAACAATAACAGAAACAAACTTAGTACTAACTTTGGCAGCATCTTCAAGACTCAACAGACCAATTTCGATATATTAAAATTCAGCCTAACACAATGGACCTCAGCACGAGACTCTGGGGAATAAACCCCACAAACTCTGTAGTTATTCCCCAGAGCCTCGTACTGGGGGCTATTGTTTTAGGCTGAATTTTAATATATCGAAATTGGTCTACTGCTTCTCCTCTGAAAGAAACTCATTTTAGAACTTTATATAGTTGCCTAGTGTTAAATCGTATTATAGACTTGAGCACTTCAATTCATTGTTGAGTAAATGATTGACTTGTTTTATGTCGACTGTAATAGACTTTGACAGTTTTAGTGGTTGTTTACTTTGAGTGACTACATTGATGTAAAAAAGAGGTATCATTTTTTTTGTCATTTACTTATTGCAGTAGGACGCGCAATTGTTTGAATTTAAAGTATGGGGTAATGTAATTGATTTAAGATTGTTTAGTTAAACACTAAAGCCATCTCGAAATTAAGAGTGCAAAACAATTACCAGTTTTTGTTTACAATGTGTTCTTTGACAGCACATTTGTAAATGGAAGGCTTTTAGCGTTATTTCATTGCGTAGTCCATTTCAACAAATAACAAAAAAAGACAATAAATCACTTAACGTAAGTGTTATGTTATTTAGCACTCCTGTGCTAATTGAAGATACTGTAAGTATAGAAACAATCATTGTAAATATAACTGAAAACTTGTTAAAATCCCAACTGGTTGGAAGCTGACCAGTTGGCCATTCACAAGACGTGGAGGAGTTGAATTTGGGACCACGAACACAAAGCCATCCATTCCACTCGAAAATAAAATTCATATCCTTGTGCCGCCTTGTTATATCCTCTGTATGTCTTACAGCGAGCTGTAATAGAATCTGAAGATTCAGAGCTGGTATTAACTTCATCAGTGACTGTGGTGCCTAGAACTAGTTAGTTGAATCAAATGTGTGAACCAACATTATTTTGTTGACCTTCAAATAAGGAATGCTTGCGATAATACAAGATACACGGGTCCTCTTCTTGATATTCTTGAAAATCACAGCAAAGAGTAACACCAGACTAGGTGAATTCTAAATGAAGTAAAGAAATAGTTTGATACAAGGGACGATAGATCAAACTCTTTTGTTTGATATTTTTGTTTCAGGTTGCTTTTGAGCCGCATTTTATTATAAATTGATTCAGTAGAGGATAGGCATCCTTGGTGGGGCAACCGTGAAAGGAATTAGTCGAATTCGGGTAACTTAGTCCCAAGCTGATTCACCAGCGCCTCCCCCGACAAAAATATATTTTGTTATCATGAAACCGAGGTATGGTTCAAAAAA